GTTGGCGTAGACGCCGGGTTGTCCACGTCGCCCGCAGACGGCCATGCCCCAGGAGACCACGCCTTGCAGCACCCCGTTACACACCAGCGGACCCCCCGAGTCACCCTGCGGGGAGGAGGACACGTGGTGGGTCTTACTTGGGGCAGGGTGGGGGGTGTAGACCTTGCGTGGGCTCCATCCCCATGGTCTTTCCATGGTTTCATGGGTTGGGTAGGTGGGAACCCAAATCTTGGATGGACTCGTTCATGCGCCATGACCCATCCCCAGCTCCGTGGCTCAAGCAGAAGGTCATTGGTGGCAACCCAAACCTTGGATGGGCCTGGCCACGTGCCATGACCCATCCCCAGCTCCGTGGCTCAAGCAGAAGGTCATTGGTGGCAACCCAAACCTTGGATGGGCCTGGCCACGTGCCATGACCCATCCCCAGCTCCGTGGCTCAAGCAGAAGGTCATTGGTGGCAACCCAAACCTTGGATGGGCCTGGCCACGTGCCATGACCCATCCCCAGCTCCGTGGCTCAAGCAGAAGGTCATTGGTGGCAACCCAAACCTTGGATGGGCCTGGCCACGTGCCGTGGCCTTTCCCTGGTTTTATGGGTTGGGCCGGAGATAACGGTGGAGGAACCCAAACCTTGCATAGACCCATCCATGTGCTGTGACTCATCCCCAGCTCCGTGGCTGAAGCAGAAGGTCGTTGGTGGGAACCCAAACCTTCGTGAACTGTCCACGTGCCGTGGCCTTTCCCTGGTTTTATGGGTTGGGCTGGAGATAACGGTGAAGGAACCCAAACCTTGCGTGGGCCTGTCCACGTGCCATGACTCATTACCAGCTTTGCGGCTCAAGCAGGACATTGGTGGGAACCCAAACTTTCATGAACCATCCATGTACCGTAGCCCTTCCCTGGTTTTATGGGTTGGGCTGGAGATAACGGTGAAGGAACCCAAACCTTGCGTGGGCCTGTCCACGTGCCGGGGCCCTTCCCCGGTTTTATGGGTTGGGCTGGAGATAACGGTGAAGGAACCCAAACCTTGCGTGGGCCTGTCCACGTGCCGGGGCCCATCCCCAGCTCCATGGCTCAAGCAGGATGTTGGTGGGAACCCAAACCTTCATGAATCATCCATCTGCCGTGGCCTTTTCCTGGTTTTATGAGTTGGGTTGAAGGAACCCAAGACTTGCGTGGCCTCATCTCACCCTACATTTGAAGTCAAAACCACACCAAGACCCTCCTTGTCCCCAACACCAACCTGGAAGGTGGCCGAAGGGACGTCACCCCCACCTTACCTGGCAGGAATCGATGCCCCCCTGGGGGACGCCGGCGCAGAACATGTTGGCGGTGATGGCGTTCCCGTACGCCCTGGCGCACTTGTCCTGCCCGAAAGTTTGGATGGCGGCGCACTGCAAATTTTTGGGCAGCTTTGCTGCAGAAGAAAGGACGGAGAGAACGATGGTGAGAAGGAGAAGCCCCCTAAGATGCTGAGGCCTGAGCGGACTTCGTTACACCTGTCGGTAAAGGTTCTTTGGGAGGTGGACGCTGGAGATGCTTCCATCAGAGGTGGTTGACACAAAAGAAAGCCAACCCCCCCCCAAGGGAAAAACCCACCTAGAAGTCGTTCTCTGGGTGGAGTTAAGGTGACATCACAGAAGCCCTTATCTCATTTTCCCAGCTGAGAAGGTCACGTGGCCTCCTTGGCGAGCTGCCCTTCCCCCCATCCAATTGCCTCCTCCTCTCCCTCCCACCTCTTCCACCGAGGTCTCCACCACGAGCCAGTACCTCCAGGGGACTTGGTGGTTCCCCAGCCAGAGACGCCGCACCTCATCCCGTCCGTGGGACACCTCGTGGCTAATCTGATCTTCTTGATGCTGTTGCTGAACTGAATGGGTTTGTTCAACCTCAGGAGCATGAAGTCATTGTCATTCCTCCGGGGGTTGTAGGCCGGATGGACCAGGACCTCTGAAATCGACCTCATTTCCCCCGTTCCATCCCGTAACGTGTCCGTCCCGATTAACACCTTGAGGTCCCTACCGAGGGAAGAAGGTCAAGAAATCAGTGTCGGTTCCTCCAGAGGAGACACATAAACCCTTGACCTCAAGGGTTGTCCATCAAGCAGACGATCAAGACCTTGAAGCTTCTCCACAGGGGACCATTCAGTGGGCAGAGTTAAGGTGATATGGCCATGGGACCACCTTATCTTGGTGCCCTTGGTGGGGAGGAGGTCAGGTAAACACGTTAATGCCTTGAGGATTCATGAGCCACCTCTCCTCCAAGAGCTCTTTGATGGCTCAGGTACCCTGGAGGCATCTCCCATCTCCACGGGAAACTGTTGCGTCTCTTAACTCCAGCTCCTTGGCTTCATCTTCCTCACTCCAGGAGTCCCACCAGCAACATCTCAGCAACGTTGCCCTGACCTCAACTTCTTCCCAACTTTTCTTTTGCCTTTTTTCCCCCCCATTATTTCCCCTCCAAAAGATCTGGTTTCCTCTCACAGGACCTTGTGGAGAAGCTGGAGAAACTTGGCTGGGGGGGGGACACGACCTGCTCCATTTAGTGTCATCACCTGGAAAAAGGGGGTAACTGGACCTCAAAGGGGGTTGGATTCCTTAGAGGTTCGTAGGTGGAGGTTGTCACCCTGCAGAGGACACATCAGCTTCTCCACTCACCATGTGGAGGATGACTCTGCCTTCATTGCCCTCTAGAGGTACCAGCACCTGAACACCAACATCTGGAGATATCTGTGCCTGAAACATCAACATCTAGAGCCACGGGACACCAGAACTCTGGAGGTAACATCTGGGGTACAAATATCTGGATATACCGACCTCTGGATACCTCTGGTACCCACCTCTGGAGCTACCAATCTTTGGAGGTACCAGACTCAACTTCTGGACCCCAAAATCTGGAGATGTTCACATCTGGAGGCAACAAACTCTGGAGATGTCAACATCTGGAGCATATGTCTCTCTGGATACCACCCTTTGGAGGCATCAGCTTCTGGATTTGCCACCATCTGGGCGGCTAACACCTGGAGGCATCAACCTCTGGAGACCCACCTCTCACCCTTGGCTCATGAGAAGCCACCTTACCTGACTGGTTGCCTACAGTGGGCGGCTGTCAGGACCCATTGGGCACCTATCAAGCTTCCTCCACACAGGATTTGACCTCTCTTGATGAGGGCAACTTGGAAAGGTCTTTGGTTGATGGAGCAGGGTCTTCCACCGATGATACGGGACTCATCCTCCGGCACTGTAAGACAGAGGACCAAAGGCCACCGTCAGTACGTTGCGTGGCTGTAGCCAACCGCGACGTCTTCCAAAGAAACCTGCCGGGTTTGGGTTGAAAAAAGGGCGAAACGTTGCAAAAGGCGGTCTTGAAGAAGGTGAGATGGAAGAGAAAAGGGAAAGGTCTCTATTTTTCAGCCTCAAACTCCCATCGGAACACTCAAAAATCATCTTAAAAACCTAAAAATAATATTTTTTTATTAATTTACTGAGTCACCTGTCAGCCTGCTGGGGTAGGGTTGTTTTTTTTTTTGGATGAAAAAAGAGATGATTTGGGGACCAGTTGAAATCCAACCGTTTGTAGCCCAGATTGAGCCAGTCCTTGAAGATCTGTTTTCTCCTGGTGCCACCTGATGGAGCTCATGACTCCATCACCTGACCACCCATCCCAGGTAGATGACAGGGGTGGGACTTTCCATAAGGAGACACACACACCCCCCCCCGCCACCATGGCACCGGTGTCCGTCATGTTGGGTTGGGCCAATGAGCTGTCCTGGAAATCATCGCGTTATCAGGAAGTCACCAGGAGCCACTTATCTCCTCCGGTTTCACCATGTGCCTCTGGGAGGGGCATCCGTTCCACCTCTAAGATTCCTCCCAGCCCAAGATTGGACTCCAAAAGGGAGGTGACGCACCCCTAAAAGAGCTGATTTCTTCGTCCTCGGTTGGTGAGAAAGCCTGTAGGACCAGCTCAAAAAGCTTCCTACCTCCTGGACGGCTCATCTACCCATAGTTAGGGCCAGGGTTGGAGATGGTTGCATCAACCCAAGCAGGAGAAGCCCTGACGCAGGGGGAAAAAAAAAAAAAAAAAATAGAAGAGGACTTCACTCAGGAACGTGAATCTTTATGGCGTTCTGGAGTTGAGATGTCTTGGTCCAATCAGGTTGATTGAGAAGAAAGAAAGAGGGTCATCAGCTTGGTTTGGGGGTCTTTGGTCATATCACAGAAAAAGGGTCTCACCACTTGAAGCCCTCCACTACCGACATGGATCTTCCAATCTTTCGCATCTCTGGAGGCATCTCCCTTCGCTTTAGGTGGCTGCAGCAGACAGGTGGCCGCTGGAGATGCCCAAAGTTCCATCTCCAATGATCCTTGGAGAGAGGAAGGGACCATTCTGAGAGGCAATCCCACCCTATCCAACATCAGACGTCTACAAGATGAGGTGTCCCATTTATTCATCATCATCATTTATGATGAATGAGGTTTACGGGGTGACCATCTTGAGGCCGTGACCATCTTGAGGCCATTACCACACAGAATTCCGCTTGGGTGTCCGCACAATGCAAGTCCAAAGCCTTGTGACATACTCCTGGTGTCCCTCCTGGCCTCCATCTACAGCTCTATGCAGGCAAACCTCAGGTGGCACCTCTACCAAGGCCACTGGAGAAGACCCCTGGTGCTGAGTTGTGTCCAAGTGGGAGGAGACAAGATTTAAAAAAAAAAAAAAAAAAAAAGGAGAATCAGCGCCAAAAAAAAGTATTTTTTTTCAGGAAAAAGACTTCCCTCCCACCCCAAAAACACGCAGGAGGACTTTCAAATGGGAGATATCAAGTCCTTGTCCTCTGAGATGTCCTCACAGGTGTTGGGCCTGAGTCCCCCACGCCACAGTCTGGGGCCTTCCAGACCTTTTTGGCTATTTTGAGGAGAAATCGTGACTCCAAGCGTTGACCGCCTTGGCGAACAACCGTATTGATCGCAGCGCGTGCGAGGTGGCTCTGGTCCACAGCATCTGCAATTGCTTTCCACCGAAGGTTGGGACATTGGAATTTACCAGTGGGACTGGTTTGTGCTGGTGGGGATTACAGCCTGTGACGGGTGGCGATGGGAGACGCCCAAATTTCAAACCGCCTGGAATTTGCCACTATCCGGTCCCAGCAGCGCTGCCAAAATCGATGGGTGGCAACCATCCTCCAGCAGATGCTCATCAGGGAAGCATCCCTGGTCATCCCAAGATCCATCTTTGCACCTTCAGAGACCAACCAGCGGGTTTAGATTCCACCAAACTCCTTGAAGGCATCTCAGCAGCTTCCCTGAGCTCCCACGATGGAGTGGTATCCATCCACAAAGCTCACTCAGTGGAGACGTTGGCAATGCGAGATGGTGGATCCCGCCCCGTGGTAGAATCCATCCCTTGGATTTCCAGAGGCTACCGGTAACTGGAGAACTCCAACCAAGATGATGGTGCCTCCATCCCAAAGGATAAACCTCCCCACCAGAAAACAGTTCCTGGAAGGTCACGGGGTAAATTATCCAGCCATCGTGTCTAGACACGACCTTGTTCCTTCTCCACAGGACCCGGATGGTTTGGATTCAGCTCTGGGGACACAGATTTGGGTTAAGAGGCACCAAGATCAGGTCAGATCCGAGGTCTTTGCATCCAACAATCAGAAACCATGGGACTCCTCTTTCCACCCTAACCGAGACCCATGCATTTGGGTTGTCCTTCAGCAGAGCATCATTTTGGAGGCCAGAAGAAAGGAAGAGAATGTTCCCATCGGGATGGAGTCTCTCTCCTTCCTTTCCTTCACCCCGGGTGACTTTTTTTTGTCTCCTTCTTTTTGCAGCTGTGACAGACATCCCCGTAGGAACTTCCAGAGGAGGGAAAGAAGATGTCCTGGAGATCCCAACACCTCCAACGGGGTGCAGAAATTTTCCTCGGCGTCTCTTTCGAGGCCATTTCTCCGCGTCAAGGGGGTTGTTTTATCCCAGCTCGAAACCAAAACACGTTTCGAAACTGTAGGGCCTTGCCCAAACCTTCCCATCGGCAAAATTCCCACGAGCCAAGAGAAGGCATCTCCGCATCCCATCCCATCGCATCCCATCGGCCACGTTCCCCTTACGAGGTGCTCGTGAAACACCCGTGGTGTCTCCATCCCACCTCCTTGGCCACCGGTTTGACTTACGCTCGTTGCCTTCGTTGCCCTTCACCTGAGCTTGTGCCGGTGGCGAGGTGGTCAGCAGCAATCCGGCTGCGAGGATGAAGATAGGGATGAAGCTGAAGGACCTGTGGCCATCACGAGCCATTCCTGGGCCAGAGAAAACAAACTGGATCAGCCCTGGGGACCACAGGAGAGCGGCCGATGCCACGTGGGGGCTACAGGGAAGGTCCTCAGTGGTGTCCTTCTGCCTCCCAGGTGGGATGGAGGCGATGTGACCAAGACACCGGTGGTGTTTTGGTGCACCTTCACCCTTACAGACCTTGGGGTGGTCTTGGACCCTCTTCTCCACCTTGTTTTGGTTGAGTTCAGCTCTCTGGTGGCACCAAACCCACCTGTATGAGCTCAGGAAGGACCACCTCCCTCCTTATCTCTGTGAAACTTGGAGATCCAAGCTCAACTGGGACACGGAGGGTGTTCCCACCAAACCCATCCAAACCTGAGCCACCACGTGAGCTGAGCACATAGGGATGGATGGATCCAACCCGTGAGAAACATCCACCAAGAGATGGAGATGCCTGGTTCCCACGTCACCCCGCAGCATCCATCCCTCAGAGGGATGTCCGTGGTCCTGGCCACGGGGATGGACTCACCTGCTGGAGGAGAAGAGAAGAAGGGGGCCGGCTCGGCGCGTCGGGAAGCCGAAAGCCGGTGGCTGGGTCATATTTATACCCGGGTTGAAAAGTAGGCCGTGTCTCCAACGGGGTGAGTCAAGTGCGGTTGGGCGACGGGTCCGCGCGGCAGCGGGGCGAGCGTGGCCCGTGGGTGTCTCCCCGGCCCCGTGGGTGATTACTGCTTTGATGTCCTAGAGGAAACACCGCCGGGTTCCTCGGCAAAGTGGAAACGCCCTCTCCTCCCATCGTCAGAGCCGCCCTGGACACGGGGTTGAGGAGTCCCAAAAACAGCTCGCCCAGGCGGACCGGCTGGCTCACCCCTCCCCCCGCCTGGGGTGTCAGTGTCAGGGGGAGCCACATTTTGGGGTGGACCCCACTAGAGATGCGTCTTGGTGCCCCTCAACCACCTTCATCCAGTCCCGGGTTCTGCTACCCATCAAGGAGCCACGTTTTGGGGTTGACCCCACTGGAGATACGTCCTGGTGCCTCTCCACCCCACCCCTCCACACCCCCGGGGCATGATGGACGTGTCAGGGTGCTGACCCGGCCCTTGGGTGTTGTGAAATGTCACGGTGCTGCCTGGCTGCTGCCCGTCCTGTCTGGCTGGGTGTCTGTCTGTCTGTCTGTCCTCCCACCTGCCTGGCCATCCATCAGTCTCCATCTCCACCTGACTGTTGGTCTGACCGGCCATCTGACTGCTCACCTGTCTACCTGTCTGACCATCCGACTCTTAAGTTTGTCCATCTGTCTGGCCCTCATCTTTCTCCCCGTCCATCCAACTGTAAGTCTGTTTGTCCATCTATCTGGGCGTTTGTCTGTCTGTCTGTCCTCCCACCTGCCTGGCCATCCATCAGTCTCCATCTCCACCTGACTGTTGGTCTGACCGGCCATCTGACTGCTCACCTGTCTACCTGTCTGACCATCCGACTCTTAAGTTTGTCCATCTGTCTGGCCCTCATCTTTCTCCCCGTCCATCCAACTGTAAGTCTGTTTGTCCATCTATCTGGGCGTTTGCCCATCCATCCATCCATCCATCCATCCATCCATCCATCCATCCATCCATCCATCTCTTCGTCCATCTGACTGCAAGTCTGTCTGTCCAACAGCTTCTCTGTCCCATCCGTCCATCCATCCGTTTCACTATCCATCCATTCCTCTCTCCGTTTGTCCCTCAGCCCATCCGTCCGTCCCTCAGCCCATCCATCCGTCCATCTGCAAACGGCCAGTCTATCTGCTCACACCTCTGTCCCTCCATCTCCACGTCTATCTGCCCGTCTCTGTCCATCTGTCCGTCCATCTCTATAGCCGTCTCTCTGTCTGACTGTCTTTCCAGTGAGCTGGATAGCCACCTGTCCATCTGTCCTCCTATCTGTCCATCCATCCAGCTATCGAGCCATTTCTCCATCCATCCATCCATCCATCCATCCATCCATCCATCCATCCATCCCTCCATCTCTGCATCTAGCTGTCCATCCCTCCATCCATCTCTACATCTAGATGTCCATCCATCCATCCATCCATCCCTCCATCCATCTCTACATCTAGATGTCCATCCATCCATCCATCCATCCATTCCTCCATCCATCTCTGCATCTAGATGTCCATCCATCCATCCATCCATCCATCCATCCATCCATCCATCCATCCATCCATCCCTCCATCCATCTCTGCATCTAGATGTCCATCCATCCATCCCTCCATCCATCTCTGCATCTAGATGTCCATCCATCCATCCATTCCTCCATCCATCTCTGCATCTAGATGTCCATCCATCCATCCATTCCTCCATCCATCTCTGCATCTAGATGTCCATCCATCCATCCAATCCTCCATCCATCTCTGCATCTAGATGTCCATCCATCTGTCCATCCCTCCATCCATCTCTGCATGTAGATGTCCATCCATCTGTCCATCCATCCCTCCATCACTCCATCCATCCCTCCATCTATCTGTCCATCCATCACTCCATCCACCCTCATCTCACACACAAGCACACTAGAAGCCAGGTAGACCTCATGTGATGCACACGCATGTTCACACACTCCCCGTGCACGTGTGTGCACACGTGTGCAAGGACGGGGGGGGGGTTGGCATATCCAAAAGGAGCACGTGTCTATGCTCCCAGCTTGGGATGCCACCTCCAAGGAGGGACCCTCATGGCTCCAGGGTGGGGGAGAACAACCTCTGGAGGACATCACCGGACTGGAGGTCTCCAGGGACCTACGTGCCACCTTCCTTTGGCACCCGGCGCCGGTTGCACGTCCCCGATGAGTAACACCGCGGATGTGGGTGAGCGATGGGCGAGGCCACGTCCTGCTGCCAACCCAGCTGAGCTCTGCGAGTCGCTTCTGGTGAGTCAAGGGGACACCGGGGACAGGGGGTGCCACTCGTGTCCGTCCCCCCGCCCCCCGCTCAGCTGGACACTGTCCCCAACCCTGGAGGTGTGTCACCTCCCCATCCTCGTTCCCCCCAGCCCCAACGGCATGGGGGTCTGGAGGGTCTCCAAGGTGGGAGGTGACCACCCCATGCCCAGAGAGGGTGACCCGGGTGCAATCAGTGTCACCCACCGTCCCCAGGGCCATCCGGACCATCTCCTCCTGGGGTGGTGGCAGCAGTTGAGGACCCCAACGTCTCCCGGCCCTTCCCAGGGCGGATTTCACGTGCGTGTCGGGGCGTGAGACAGGCGCCGGGGGGACGGGACAGGTGGTGAGCTCAGCAGCCATCTCCAGCCCCCGGCACCTCTTTCCACGAGGTTCAAGCCATCTTCACCGATGGTTCTCCTCCCCTGGGAGAAGCGTGTTCGAGCTCTGGCATGTCCTGCAGCGGGAAGGTCTCAAAAGATGGGTCTTCTAAAGCCACCCCAGCCCAGCCATCCTCCATGCCGGTGGGAGCAGAGCTGCAACGTGGGTGCAGGAGCTCCAGGGATGGTGCTGAAGGCACCTCTGTGCCTCTTCAATGGCCCTTTCGGCAGGGCCAGGAGAGGAGACGAGGCTGGGAGCAGCTCAAGGCAATTAACAGCCTGACGAGCAATTAAGGGTGGAGAAGCCCAGGAGCTGAGTCCTGACGAAAGGAAAGGCCGGGTTGGGATGAATCACAGTTTGGAGATGCTGATCTCGCTCTCTGCTGGTGGCAAGAGGAAGCCTGGGGCTGGGTTTGGTCCTAAACCTGGAGGTGAAGCTGGAGGTCCTGGAAGGGCAACTGTCCCAGCAGATCCATAGAGGTCTGGTCTGTGGAGAGCCTCAATGAAGAGGCTGTGGCCTTGGGAAGCCCATCTGTGGAGGCCTGGCCCATGGAGATCTCATTTACCAGGATGCCATCCCCTGGAGATCATATCCCATGGAGGTCCGGTCCATGGAGACCTAATCCACCAGGTGAATCCATGGTGATCTCCTCCCATGGAGATATAGTCCACAAAGATCAAATCCACCAGGATCCTGTCCACCAGGATCCCAGCCCATGGATGTCTGGTCCACTAAGAATCCATTCATGGAGATCTGGTCCATGTTGATCTCAGCTACAGGGATCCTGTCTGCGGAGATCTTGTCCGTGGAGTGGTTGGCTGCAGAGATCATCTGTGGAGGTCTCATCCATGGGGATCCCTTCTACAAAGCACCTGGGCCATGGTGATCCTGGTGGAGAGATGTGGTGGGCAGAGATCTCATCCACTGGGATCCTGTCCATGGTGATGCCACCCATGAAGGGATAGGACATGGTGATCCCGGGCCGTGGAGATCAATTCCACAAGGCTTCAAACCACGGGGATCCCATCCTTGAGGAGCCCGTCTATGAGGATCCACCCTACAGCCACCATCAGCCATGGAGATCTGGTCCACAGAGATCCCCTCCATGGGGATCTTCTCTATAGACATCCTTGGCCGTGAAGGTCCACAGAGATCCCATCCATGAGGATCCTTGATCCCCCAGGGACGTGAAGGGACGAGGGGACTTCACAAGGTGACACGGGGGCTCCCAAGGGGAACAGAGATCCTGGGTGGGGACACGGGGCACATGAGGGGACACGTTGGGGGACGTGAGAACATCAGAAGACATGAGGGGATGGGGGTGGACATGGAGGGGGTCATGAGGGAAGATGGGGACATGGGGAGACCCGAGGGGACACGGGGGGACCGCGAAGGGCCGCGAGGACACGTGGGGGCACATGGGGGGGTCATGAGGGGACAGGGGAACCCATGAGGGGCCCCAGAACCCCAAGG